AATATATAATAATAATAATAATAATAAAATATAATAATAATAATAATAATAATACGCACGTTGAAATGCTAATTAAATTGTAAGCACGATATTTTTTTTTTTTTATCGTAACAATATTAATTCGAGTATTCCGTGTAAAAAAGATCCCTCCTCCCTTGGTTAAGCTTTTTAATTCCATTTTGCCATATAATGGGCCGTGACGAGCGAACCGTGCCGATAAAATTTTCATGGTGTTTGGGATTTCGAGTAATTACGTTTTGTGTACAGAGGAGCTCGACAAGACGCGCCTAGAGGGAGGGGGGGAGCACAAGAGAGTCGATTTATCTATTGTGAAATAATTCAACGAGTCGAGGCGTTATATCAAAAGGGTAGATTTTAATCGATACCTTCCCGAGTTTTGTCTGATTAAAAAGAAAGAAAAAAAAAAAAAAAAATTGAAACGATCTCTAAAAATAATCGTGTGTGATTTCACGATGATCGAGAACAGAAAGAAGAACAGAGAAAATCTTACGGACGGTAAACGTGAAACGATCGGCTCGATGGCTTCCATCGAACGTCACAGTTTACGTGACAATATAATCGTTCCACGCTTGAATATTTCATTGGAGGCGTTACGCCTCGCAATCGCCGCGTTCCGGACCGATTTCGTATCTCGGATCGTGCATCTCCGCGATTACCGTCCACGTAACGCGTCGCTCTCTCCTCCCAAACTATGATTTCGCCACACGCGACCGAAAATCTAATTTCCATCGAACGGTAATTCGTGCCGTTTGATTAGTTTGATTCGATTAATTTTCGAGTTTAATCGAGAATTTAAAATCGCAGAAAGTGAAGTTGAATTACCTGAAAATGTATATAAGAGGTGTGTACGGGATAATTCTTCATCACTTTGGAGCGTCTGTTCGTGAGCAGGGTTGAAAAGTGATTGGTTAAAAATTTCGTATAAGGTTAAATGGTTGAATAACGTATTGGGGTTTTATTAATAACTATTATAGTTGATCCACATGGTTATTCGATGCTTTCAATTATAAATGTTAAGTAACTTTAATTAATATTTATTAATAATAATATTTATTAATATTAATTAATAAATAAATTGTTAAAGTAACTTTATTCTTAAACTATTCAATTGTTAAATTTTACAATCTATTTGTTTGTTAGAATTACAAAGTTTCGGAAAGTAATTTCGTTTTTTCACGCGAGTGTCGCTAGTTGAATGTTTATCCAGCCAACTTTGTTCTAAACCAACGTTGGTATTATTATATTTTGAGAGTTCGTGATTTATTAAGAAAAATTCGTTTGATTTGCGGTTGTGTGATAATAAAAGAGAATTTTTGATATATTTTACTTTTTAATTATATAGAAAGAATAGGCAAGAATGTTGTTCAGAATAACAAAACTGGTTTTCAAAATTTCGTTCCGACAATTTTGACGTCATGTTCTGGAAGATTGGTTGAAACTGATGAAGATGTCGAATGATCACACGAAACGACTTGGTTTCGTTTCATGAAAAAAATTACTTTCTGAACAATCTAATATGAAAAAACTTTGAATATATCTTCGTTATTATAATTAAAATTACGAAGAAACTTTGTAAAAAAAAAATATTACAGGTGAGGTATCTTTAGAGATCTTAAACTTATCTTCATTTTTTTCTCTTTTAACTATAAATTTTTACTGTTTAATAAATATTTCACGATTTTTAATTATTCAGTTCGAATGAAATAACGAGCAATTTTTATTTTATTTTGTTCCCGCCTCGTGCGAGATTTGGGTTTAGCAGTAGTATGAGACGGTAATCAGTCAGACACGAGGCAGGGATAGCCAGACTCTCGCTTGAAAAATTAATATTCATTTGCGCATAGGAAAATTAACTTCTTATTTTATTTAAAATGGGGAAAAAAAACGTACGATTAATATTCAAAGTTAGTAAAGATAGATACCTGAAAATTATATATGTACAGCAGATTTACTCGTAACTCTACGCAATTAGTCATCGATTTTTGCGATAAGATTCAATGATTAAATCAATTCTATGAAGCGGCCGCCGCGTGACGGGCATTATTTAAAAATTGGCGTACGTTTCTGACTTTCGTGACGTAGGAATAACGAAAAGTAAGAATACGACACGCGAGGATGCATTTTTTAAAAGGTTTTCGAGGGTTTGCGCTCCTCTATAACACGAATTATTATTTCATTTATTGTTCGTAAACAATGGATGAATTAAAATCACGGTAAAAATTACGTTACGTATCTACTTTGTTTTCATTCTTGTCGAAGTAAAGACTTTTTTTTTAATACAATAAAATAAATAAATATGGATTAATTATTCGACAGTGTAATCAAATTGGAAGGAATTCGAGTCTGATTGAATTTGAAAAAATAATTATTTTATCATTATTTAAATCGACGTGCCGATATATATATATATATATATATATATATTGCAAAATGAAATAACAAAAGAAAATGATTAAAAGCTCGCGAAATATTATAGGGAATGAACAATCGCGATTTTAATTGCAATTAATATTTATAATATTTCTGAATGCTTGAATCTCTCTCTCTCTTGTGTGTATCATAAAAATAATGAAATATTGATTTATCTTTACGATACAACTGCATTAAACGAAGATGGTAGAATTGCAGGGGAAAACGATAAAATTCATGACGACGAATATTAAAAGCTTTAAATGTGCATCGGGGGAAACAGTATAATCAATTAATTTTAATCAGTTAATATAATATTTCACATTTGTTGTTCCTCTTTTATGGAATAAAAGATTAATAATAACGGTCCACTATAATACAGAATAACTGATAACATTGTCGAAATAAAACGTGTAATTTCAACCACTCGACGTTTATTAACTGTTGCTTTCCAATTTTTGCCTTCGTTTCGTAAAAACATTTAAATTGTTGTATTTTATATTTTCCATCCTTTTCCGTTACACGATATAATAATACTTGATCCTCTTGTCGCGCGGAATTATGCGTGGAATTAATCACAAGCATGGCGGATTAATTCAACTAACCTTAATAAGTGCAAAAAATCGTAATAAATATTCACTAAGAGAATAATAGACGCTAAAACTTTATTTTCGATTGTCTTTCTCTTTTCTGTTCTCTTCTATGTTCAGCAAAATGAACTTGGAACTTTTAATTTAGTAATATCAAATTTCAATTCCATTTCAATTCAATGAGAGCAAGACCCAAGGAGCTTTATTTTGATTTTCAATCCTCTTGCTCTTTCAATTTAAAATTTTGATCAAGTCGTATTAAATTTCAATTCCTCTAATCCACAAGAACACAATTTATATTCACTCACTGTCTTTTTCTATGTTCACATTCAAAAAGCAAACTTAAAACTTTAAGAAGTTTCAATTGCTCTCAATTCCACAAAAATAATAATGTAAGTCCCAAATTTTAAGAACTCTCTATCCTCTTTCTCCTTCACTCATTATCTTTTTCTATGTTCATGTTCAAAATACAAAAGAAACTTAAAACTTTGATAACTTTTCAATTGCTTTCAATTCCACAAAAATAATAATGTAAGTCCCAAATTTTAATAACTATCTGTCCTCTTCCTCCTTCACTCATTGTCTTTTTCTACATTCACATTTAAACAGCAAAGGAAACTTAAAATGATAAGTTTGATAAGTTTCAATTGCTCACAGAAACACAATTTAAGTCCCAAATTTTAAGAACTCTCTATCTTCTTTCTCTTTCATTCACTTCTTTTTCACTCACTATCTTTTTCTATATTCATATTCAAAAAGCAAAAGAAACTTAAAACTTGGATAACTTTTCAATTGCTCTCAATTCCACAAAAATAATAATGTAAGTCCCAAATTTTAATAACTATCTGCCCTCTTCCTCCTTCACTCATTGTCTTTTTCTATGTTCAAAAAGAAACTTAAAACTTTGATAACTTTTCAATTGCTCTCAATTCCACAAAAACAAATTTTAACGACAAAGACTTTATCTCGACTTCAGCCCTCTTCCATTTTTCTAAATTCATATTCGAAATAAACTTTGATTGAATCTTTGGTATATAAATATTCCAATTCCTTTATTCCATATGGTTGGTTATCTCGAGTTTTCACGATGGACGGGAGAAGGAAACATCGACTTCCGGTCGGAGCGGGAATAATTCACGCGGATCGATCGATGGCGAGCCGAGGGGTTAAATTAATTTAAGTAATTTGACGATCGCTATCGGCGGAAACATTAAATAAAGTAGCGCGTTGTACAGGTAGCCGCGTTTAGATTATAGATCGGGTTGCGTCGAGTAAACCGACGTTGGTCACAACAACATCAACATGGATTGTGGCCATCGTTGCATAACTGAGTGGTCGTTCATGATGATTGGATGGCCGGTTTTCCTTTTTATTCCATTTACCAGCCACTTGTCATTACACAGGAAGTGAAAAAGTGGGCATTCATACCAACATTCATACCATGTTAACAGCATTCGTCCACCTCCTCAGACTCGATTACACTAGGAGCCAGTTGTAATGGTTAACCCTTTTGACGATGGGAAGATAAATGATGCATGTATGGAGGAAAATATTAGATCGTGTAATAAATTCGTCCGCTTTGGAGGATTGGAAAGGATTATGCTCGGTAGGATTATTAAAGAACCGCTTTGTTGCCAACTTTTATCGTTTGATTATACGATTTAATAAAAGGAATGTGCTTAACCGATTAGATTGAAAGCATCGTGCTTAAAAATCTAGGAAAAAGATTTGCTTTTTCGTTATTACTATGCACATGCGTTATATTTATCATTTATCATCTCGATTTTTCACATGGTTCATCGTTGTATCGTAAAATTCTCTCAATGAAAAATCGAAGAATTATATTTTTGTATTACGAATTTTTTAATACGAGAAACGAGAAATTTTATAGTGAAGAAATATTCGAATTGTCATATGTTTATAACTATTTCAATAGTTAATTCATTCGTGTACCGACATATCCGAATAATTTTGTTTCAGGAACGAGAGGCTGAAAAGATAGCGGAGGAGGCGGCAGCTATGCGCGACGTTAAATCGGAACTTCAACCCGCAAGAAGTCCCGACACCTGGCAGGGAAACAACTTTTATCGACATCTGAATGCAATAAAAAGTACGTAACGTATAAACAAATAAATAACGAATCGTGAATTTATTATTCAGATCTCGTCAGAATTTCGTTAGAATTAAAGATTTTGGAAGGAAAATTTCCTTTATTTTTTCAAAATCTCTTAAGTCAACGACATTTATAACATTTATTAAGTTTTACTCCAAGTGGCGCTGTCATCGCTTCTTCTTTAATTACGACACGAATTTCTTAAAATATTTTGGAAAAAAAAAGGAAATCTTCTCTTCGTCGAAGGAAAGCAATAAATAATAACAACAAATGTCCCTCTACCTCTTTTTAATCCGTTCTGATATTTGGCCGCGTTATTATCAGCAATTGGTAATTAGCGGGGCACGAGTGGTCCACGAGAAGGTCGTGAGATTAAATTAATTAGAGTAATTAGTCGCGACCGGAGTGTTAACTGTGAGAGCGAAGGGTTGCCTCGATATCAGACGCGGGGGTGGATCTTGGAGTCGGTAATAACGGAAAAGGGGTTGCGGGCGAAACTCCTCTCTCGGCGAGGAGGCGTGATTTCCGATGACGCTTGCGCGCTCCCGTCCCAGGAATTCAAGTATGGCCCGTGTCGAACGTTGCACCCGAGTTTAATTTTCCTTTCCTCGTCGTCGCTGGCCCGAGTTATTTCGAGCCTCGAGCCTCTGAATATTAAAAGGACAGCGGGAATGGTTGGTGGTATTTTTGCGTAAAATTAAAAAACTTGGTTAAACTTTCACTCGTAAACATTCCAACGAACGAGGGATGATGTAGGATTTTTTTTTTTTTTTCTGAATGAAATTAAATTAGATTAAGATTTTATCGAGGTTTCGATCGAGCGAAGAAATTCGAATTGGATGAAAGGAAATTGTTATTTCTATATATTCTTTCTGTTATCTATATTTATTTTTAAGCTACGATATGCTAATTTGTAAATACAGAGAAATCTTTTAACTAAAATTTTACGAATAATACGAATGAAAAGATGTTTTGAAGATACATGTACACGCATAGGGAAATGCTTACGCGAAAATACGTATGGTATTGTCGTTGGAGCATCGAATAGAAGCAATTGAAAACAAGCCATAAGCTGAAAATAACGAGATAACCGGTGTGCCTCGCTCGAGATGGGAATTTCGCGAAAAAATATCTTTATCATTTTTCCAATCAATATCAATCTGAATATCTAATTATTATTTATTTACACAATATATTCCTACCGCTGCGTTGATCGTTAAATTCCAAAAAACTCCAAAAAGAAATAATCACCGATATTGCCCAATTATTATTTATTTTTATTACATTATAATAAATAATTATATTCGATAACCAATTTTTATTGCGCAAACATCCTCACCGTTGCCTCCGTCAAAATTTCTCTTGATGGAAAAAGAAAAAGGAGAGAGAGAGAAAAGAAAAAAAAAAGAAAAATCACCGAAATCGATATCACCGAACCGAACCGATCGAACGAGCTCACCTTTAATCGGACACAACCGTGCTCGAATAACTTTTCAATTTCACCGGTGCACGCGGTTCATTACCCATTCAATTTAAATGAATAAATGAAACGGGGGCTTTTTCGATTTTGTTTGATTCTCCTTTGATTTTCGGTCCGCGGGCCACGGGCCGAATTTTGTTAATTTTCAACAATGCATGATTGCAGGCGCGGAGCAGGCCGAGAGGACGGGCACGACGGATTGTTCCGCCTGCCATCCTCCGCGAGGAATATTTTACAGCCAGATTCATAGCCCGTCTGCGCCCACTAATTAATCGGCAGCACGAGATGCAGCCGTTGGCGGGAGGAGAAGTTGAGGGGAGAGGGGAGAAGGAGCAGGTGGCGGCAGCGGTGGTGAGGTGGGAGGGGTTGAAGAAGGAGGACAAAGGTAGGAAGGAAGAAGAGGGGAGGGGGAACGGCGGGAGAGGGAGTGGAAGTGGGAGGGAGGGAGGGAAGGAGAGAGAGAGAGAGAGGTGGAGAGTAATTCAAAAAGACACTGTAAATTAGGGGTCTCCGTCAGTTATTCAGCCTGGATTCGTTGAATTCCAATTAGTTTAAAGCGCGTTTATCTCACGGTTACACGTTCTAATTATTTTTTTTTCCCCCCTCCTCCCTTTTTTTTTTTCTTTCTTTTTATTCCTTTCTCCTTTTTTATCCTCCGAATCAACGTCCAAGTGTGAGCGAACGATTTGGCAAGATTTGAATTAATTAAGACGGAGATAAGTAAGTACGTGCTCGAATGAAGTTTCCAAATTCTCGAAGCATAATTTTTCTGAATTCTTTTTTTTTTTTGAGAATATTTAAAGCATTCGAGCGAGATGGAGATCTCTATCATAATTCGTTTCGACGCGATCTTTTAAACGATAATTGATAAGATAATTGATCGAAGATAGATAAGAAGAGATGTTAACGTATTTTGTACGACAAGGTGCAGATGGATACGGGAAAGAAGAAAGAATAGAAAAGAATAGAAGGGAAAAGGGTCGCCCTCGTTCTTGCGACTCGTAAATTAATTTTGTAGATTATAATTACCGCCCGCACAAAGAAAACATTATTATAAATATTCGTGTAATTAATTTCCACGATACGCAAGCATAAGTTATATATGCGTAAAGAGAGCATTCGAAATGAAGGAAAAAATTTCGCTCAAATCTTGTATCTAGATTAAAAGAAAAAAAAAAAAAAGGAAAAAGAAAAAAAAATATATATATATATTTATTTTCGATTCTACTTACGGTGGATCTCGTTGACGATAATACGTCAATAATAATCAAGTTTCAAATGCACATAGGGAACCGATATTATATTAAGACACTCTTTGTAACGAGACATTTATGAGAGAAATGTTACGCGCGCATGCGCGTGTAAAATGGCCAGGAAAGATATTATGTATACAGTTAGTTGAACGAACTTTCAATAAAATAATATAATATAAGAAACACGATTATGAAAAGTGATCATTGATCCCTTAGAAAAATTATTACCGGTAATTGTAATAATTGTTATATGATATATATCGTTTTAAAAAATGATTATTTGTTAAAAACTAGAACTACCAGACTTTTCCAACTTTTTTTCGTTTTTTTTTTTTTTTTTTTTGCCATTACCGAGGAATAAGTATTATTATTGATAATTAATTAATTTTAGTAGTAATGTAGATATAATTCTACTTTAAATCCAGTCCATCGTGTAACGTATAAAATCCATATATAAATATATATATATATACACATATATATATGTAGGTCGGTAGTTCTAGCATTAATCAGATTACTTAACCTAATCAGTCTTTCCGAGGTTTAATTCAATGCGTTTAATTCGATTAATTCGGATACGCGCAATTTCGATAAATTTCTACGTTCATCGTTTCATTCAATGAATCAAACGTCATGCATAGTTGTCCGCGCTTGATCGAGTTTGATGCACAAGAGTCGAGTAAACTAAATTAAATCAGACTGGTATCGCAACCCTCCCTCTCATAATCACCCTTTGTAATTAAAAAACAAATTTTCTTTCCACTTTTCTCTTATCAAACCTCCTCCATCCACCCTCTATATTATAGCACAGTGGATCACCAAATTATATTTTACAATTATAATTACATATTCTAAGTATCAAGATGATCCTCTCCCTCTTAACTCAAAAGCAATCGTTTGTTAATTAACCTTTTTTTTTTTCTTTTAATTTTCTTTGCCTCGCGTAAAAGAGAGTCGTAATCAAAAAAAAAAAAAAGATTGGAAAACGCTGTTCTATATTATAGTAGAAAATTGAAACGTACGAGTTCCAGGGTTAAGCACGATTCGAGAACCGGCCACACGCTGAAGAACGCTAATTCTTTCCTTTGCATTGTAATAATTATTCCACTTAGTGAAACGAGGAGCCAATTCAGCTTGAAATTGGCTTCTCGGCGCGAGTCGGTATGCTGTGCAATATACTCTCTTTACGGTTATTAGCCCGCCGAGCGTATGGCTTGCGATCCACTGGACAAAGGGAGGATCGTGAAAAATATTCGAAACGGTGGAGAAATGGTGACGAGAGAAAAAGAAAAAAAAGAAAGAAAGAAAGAAAATAGGAAATAGCGGATTCCCTCCATCGAAAATTATTATATCGAGCGAAGATGGAATTTATCGATCGATGGGGAGAATCTGAATAGCGCGCGAATGTCGCGACATCTCGAAGCGACGGAACTAACTTCTCCTGCTTTTTATTCTCGTAGAGTATACCGCAAACAGCTGTAAGAAATGCCGCGTAGATTGTGCGAAAACGCTCGTTCGAGTAAAAAAAAGTAACAAGTGTATAGGAGACGCAATATATTGGAAACACTATGTGTAATCCGAGTAATAATAAAAGTTCTGATCACTGGTGTACATTCTTTCCTATTTATTCGCGATATTTATTTTTATCTCGTTTTTTTGAAGCAAGCTTGAAAGAAAATTTACTTTTTCTTTTTTTATATACGATTTCGTGTTAAATGGTATTTTTGTGTCAAACTTTTTCTTTTCGTAATAATATCGGAGAGAAAAAATTGTCCAAATTTTTCCAAGGTTTTTTCGAGATGTATTACGAAATATTCGGATACAGATACAGATTCTTTAAGGTTAAGAAATATTAAAAGGACAAAAAATTCTACCGCGAAAATGGGATTAGAAGGCAGAGAAGGAAGCAAAAGGCAATGGAAAGCAATCACGTAAAGATAACGAATGCAAATCTACGTCAGATTGGAGAAGTAGAGAAATAAATCCTTTTCAATTACTGAAGAAACTGGTGTATAGTAGAATGCACTGTGTAATCTTGGTCGTTGGATGTGTATCCCGGCTGTGAAATCCTCGGGGAGCACTCCCGCCTACTACAAGGACGCTCCAATGAGCAGAAACCCTTAACGGATACAGCCTCTAGTCCCTGGACGATCGTCAGCAAAATTTCAGATTTCGACCACATATGGTACTTACGATGCTATTCTCGTGAGCGCACCGGCAAAGAAATAGGAAGATTCGATCTTCTTTTTTTTTTTATCCGATATTTTTAACGATTGGAAGGGAAAATTTTGCCAAAAATATTTATGATATTTTTAAAAAAAAAATTTGAGAATCGTGTAAGTTTCTTTTAAGCTCGAGAATCAAAGAATATTATTACAATTATGGTGGAAACGTATGTAATCGAAATTTTCTTTCATTCGCACTCCTCTGTGAAAATTTCTACTAATCGAAATATAAACTCATCTTAACTCGAATTTGCTATTTGAATTCAGAATTTTGCAACTTCGAACTTTACCTCTTTCCTTTACGATTCGAATTACGAAATCTTAATAACGAATACGAATTTTCCCTTTTTCCTTTTTCCTCGCCAAAGGAAAATTTTATTCCTTCAAAAAAAAAAAAAAAAAAGAATTAACAAGCTTCGATAATAACAATCGTAAAAATATCCCGATTTATTTAATAAAAAAAAAAAAAAAAATCTTATTCCATTCGTTCCCTTCCACAGTTTACGAAAACGTTGGACGAAATATTGCGCGTTCGTGAGGGGAACGGGGGCGTTCGCCTCCGTTACAAATACTTCCGGTTTCGGAGTCTGGATGACCCTTTATGGCGGCACGTGAACGTGTATCGCCGGGACGTGAGGTAGTTACGAGAAAAGTCGGCGCTGAGAAAAGCCACTCGTAGTTGTAGATTCCTCCCGGGAGGCGGCGGTGTCTCCATTCGCGAAGCCAATTTGCCGGAACATTAGCCGCAGATGGTGTTTCCTCAACGACGCCTATTATTGATATTTCCTGCTCGCGATCGGCCATAATCGATAGATTATAGGGATTTGACGCGGGAAAATTTGACTCTTTTTCCAATTTAATCAGATATAATCGTCTTCTTCGATTCCATTCGATTGTTCGATGCTCGGGTTGTAATCGGAAAATACAATAATAACGGTGTTCCGTGGATGGCGTTAAGAGAAGAAAATAACATTTGAAGAATTTAAATAGATGAAAAAAAAAAATATCGTCCAACGTTGAATCGTTAAAAAAAGTGTAGAGGCAAATGGCCAAAACTTTTATATATATATATATATATTGGAGGGGGAAGAGGAAGGGGAGGAGAGCCATTTTTTCTTTTTTTAAACAGCGATGATATCGAGAACCAGTATAACGAGCAAGGATTTAAACACAACTTTCAGTCATCTACAATAAAGTCGACAAGCTGGGTATTTAAAGAAACATTTTAATTGCAGGAGCTAAGCCGCTTACCCGTGCCCCTCTCTCGTGCATTAATAAAAACGACCCTCCTGTTATGGGATGCGAACGAGCAAGCTGGTATTGTATCTGCGAGAAAGTAATTCGACTTTTCGTTCGAAGAAAAACGTCTCCTCGCGAATATTTCTCTGAACTCAAAAGAGAGAGGAACAATAAGGGGGAGAAATTCAGTAGGATTTTGTTGTGTTGTGAAAATCGTTTTCAATTTAAGAAGCGCATTACGTTGAAATTCTCGATGCGATTAAGGCTATTTCTTTTCGATATTTATAAAAACTTTTCTTCTTTTCTTCTTCTTCCTTCCTTTCTTTATAAAAACGTCTAATTAATCCATCCATAGTGAGATTTGATTTTATTCGAATTAAAATTATTTGTAACATCTCATATTGTTGATTAAAATTTCTCGAAAAATATTTAACTTCTTTCTTTAAATCAAGTTAAAGAAATAGGAAAACTTTACTATCCTACCTTTTCATACTACCTGCCTTTATATATTACAAGAGATTGAAGTATTTTCAACGATCAAAAATTAAATTTCAAATCGATCGATCGAAAAAAGAATTGATTATCGTGATATCGAATACAAAGTTAACGTGTTCAAAGATCCATCTTCATTGTCGAGAGAAGAAGAAAAAAAAAAAAAAGAAATCCCATAACGAGAAACAAGCGCTGTAATTGGGCATGAAAAAGCTGTATTTTCCGCGGTTAGGTTCCGCGGTGAGGGTTGGTTGTGCGCCCTCGTAACAACCGGATGCGGATGGAGGCTCGATCTCGCGGCGCGAGGAGCCAGCGTGTGGAAGGCAGCCACGTGCGGTGAGAATAGGAGAGTAGTATGGTTTACGAGGGTCCTCCTGCCGGAGGTTTGATGGTATGCCTTGTTACCGGGAAGAAGCCCGCTCCCCCGGGTAATATCGTATACAATTATGTCCACGGAAGGAAGGGAAGATATGCATTATGGATGCAACTTGTATGCTCGGTAAATCATGTCGCAGGGTTGGTTAACTCTGCAAATGATCCGCTGAATCACCACGCCTAGCCAAACGATAAGCAGCAACGAGGCCTTCGATCGTCTTTTACGATCGACAAGTTTCTGGAGGGCAGTTGTTGTAGCGGCGGGGGTTTGGAAATTGGGACTCGTGTGAACGAAAGTTGAGGGATAATATTCAGAGGGAAACTCGGTTAAAGAACGATTTGAAATTTGATTTATTGAAGTTTGCATGGATGGGATGGATAGATGGATAGATGTTAGATTATAAGTGACGAAAGGATGATTTTTTTTTTTGAATAGAAGAACGTTGAAAACGATAACGTAGCATGACATAGAGCACACTTTATTTCTTAATTAGTGATAATAATTATTTAGCATTGACCGAATATCGAGTACATATCGTTCATATTCTTCTTCGATCGGAGTTTCAATAATTATAATAGATTAATTTATTATAATATAAGTGTAATTAATTGTAATGTATTGTCTGAAAGTATCACTGCGTTGCATCCACTGGTCGTCCCTTCGCTTCGTTTCGTCAAGAACAACAAGAACAAGGGATCAAGAAGAGAACGGGAACGGGGAGATCGAACTAGGGGGAAAAAAAAAAAACTAAAAAAAACCGAGAACCGAATAATACGTAAGCGTGCAATGATCAAGGAAGAAAATAATAATCGCTCGCTTCCTCTTGGGTTTCTCGATCGATTCCAGCGACATTCTAACGCTTACAAAATATAAGTGGGTAGGAATTACGAGAAACACGAAAGGAAGGGGGAGGGGAAAAAAAAGTGTGCTTCGTGTATTGGAAGAAACGAGATAATAAGCGATACATCGGGGGAGGGAGCTGGGTGGAACAAGAATGGCGTCTGTAATTCTATTCTTCCGGACCAAGGATGCTCAGTGATTGCGGGGGGCGATAGATTCGACGTCTGTCAGACCCCGAAATAGTTAGATTACAATTAAAATGCGGAGAGCTTGTCGCTTCGAACGAGACTCTGTATATACGCGCTCGTGTATAGCGGTTAACCTCCTCTTTTTCTTTCATTACGTACTAAAAATAATACGTTTAGTAAAAAGTAACCCTATCTATAATATAAATAACGTATTTCTATGAGAAATATTATTATAAAATATATATATATATATATATTATTATTATTATATATATATAGCGGAACATGTGAAAAGCTCGTTCGTCTTGATAAAAATTAAGAAAAAAAGAAATAGAGGAAAGGCAACAATGATTATTTAAAAAAAAATAAATAAATAAAAAACGAAGTAAAAAAACATCAATCAAAGTAATGATCCTTGAAATCGTTGATTCGTCGTTCGAAAAGGAGGCAAGCACTCCGCAGAACAATATTCAACATTTAACAATAGCCAACATTTATAGAGTAAGATACCGATTTGTTTTTTTCTTTTTTTTTTGTTTTTTTTTGTTTTTTTTTTTTTTTTTTTTTTTTTTTTTTTTTTTTTCCTTTAAGTTATTCGTAGATCGTTTCGTCTCGTTCTTCTTTTGTTTCGTCCACGATCCGTCGATCATATTATATTCCTATAGTTGACAGAGGTCGCTGTTACAGGTCCGCGAGGGCAACAATAAATATCACGCGACGAGAATTAGTCCCTCGTGATTTTTTTTTTTTTTTTTTTTCGTTCTTCTTCTCCTCTTTCCTTCTCTTTCTTCTTCTTCTTCTTCTTCTTCTTCTTCTTTTTCCCCTTCTCTTATTTAAACATATTTTGTACGTACCAGTACAGTGTTTCTCAAAATTGCAAGAAAAATAATCTCGATGATATGTCTCTCGTTCCAAAAGGATACTTATATTGCTATCGTTTGCACGTGGACGCAAGTTACAGGACTCCCAAAAATCGTCACGCGATTTTTCCCTTTTTTTTACCCGATCGATTGACACGTCAGACTATATATTGCACATGCACTTCATTCCTCTTTCAATGATTCTCGACAATTGCTTTGGAAGATGAAACTCACGCCTCGCTTATTCTCGTATTTTTATTAATTGACGAAATTCCTAGCAACGGTTTAACGCTCGAAAGAACATAAGGCTATCACAACCTGTATATATATATATGTATATACTATATATATAGAGCTACGAAAATCAGATTGATCGTTACTTCTTTCCTATCGGTTTTGTTACGTTTTCGCGTTTGTTTTTTTTTTTTTTTTTTTTNTTTTTTTTTTTTTTCGATTTTCGGTCTATTCTATCTCCTTGCGTGTTCCTCCATATGGCACCTAATATCGCTACGATTATTACGTTCTTTCTTCGCGTCGATCCGCCCCCAAGTCATAAAATCACAAAGAACGAGAGAGTTTTGTTCCCCGAAAAATTGCTCGAAAGAAGAAAAATACATGACAATCTTCCTTTTTCGAAAAAACGCCGTCGACATCCAACATCGAAGACCCCGGTGGTGATGAAAATTTCTTTGTATCTATGAAATTTGACATACCCTTAATATACCTCTCTGATTCGATCGTGCTTTTGAGAAACACTGATCCAGCGATCATGATTTTTAAACAGCGTGACGTTAAACTTTTAATATTGCACAACATCGATAACACTTCAATTTTTTTTTTTTTTTGTCAGGAAAATGTTTTCATACATCTCACAATGAATTATACGATAGATAAAATTATATCAATGTATCTCTTCTTCTCTTGCTTCTTTAAACTCCTCAAACTTTCTCTCTTTCTCTCTCTCTTTCGCTCGCTCTCTTTCTCTCTCTCTCTCTCTCTCTCTCTCTTCTGTTTCGTATTCGCAATGACTGAACGCTGATGACGGTAGCAGCAGTAAATCGGTTTATCAATCGAATATCCCGGTTGATAACTTGCAACGATTTTCATTTTCGCGGCAAATCAATCCTAAGTTTCATTCTTGACAATTTTTAAACGGCGCCAAGAACAACGTTCCAATTTAATAAATATATATGTTTTTTGTTATCTTTAATAATAAAGAAAATATATTATTATAGTTTGTACGTTACTTGAGATCATAATTGATGGGATTAACCGATGGGGAATGCCTAACATTTAAATATCAACGTTACCCACGAGAAGTTCCTCCTCATCTCTCATCCCTTCTCGTGTGTGATCAGCGAGAGTGAGAAGTTAAGGATAGGCTCGGAAAGAGATTAAAAAAGATGATATAACTTTTTTATTTATATCGAGTATTTTACTAATTTCGCTTCGTAAAGTAAAATATTACGAGCGAGAAGTTTATTTAGCTATATAGAGAAGCAGAAATAGAAAAGGCCTTCCTAATTTCTGAACAATTAATACGACGTCGATAATTGTAAATAATATTAATTGTTATTTAATGATATTGATTTTTTATTATAATTTCGTAATAATTTCTTAACATGGATAGAGCTACTGTGTGTATTAATTATAAATTTATGATCGTAAAACCCATTCATATTGCAACGTTGTTCTAAGGGTGCCGCGTTTAATTCATAAAATACCAACTATACGAAACTGCCATTGGAACGGTTCAAAATGTAAGGTAAGGCCAAGAACGTTTTCCATTCATGTAAATATTTTACCGTAATAGTAAATGGAAAAATATGCGAGTATCAATAATAATAATGCCATCGTCGTAGTCATCACCGTTGTCGCCGTCATCGACAACATATATATATATATATATATTTTATATAATAAGTAAGTTATATACTCTAACATTATTATAATATTATGCTTAGCAAATATTTTGTTTGAAGATTTACCTAAAATCCACGTGGCAACAAATAACCAATTTCCTTAATTACTTTCATTGTTCTGGCGGTTTGAACTCTCGTACAAAGTCCAAGATAGAAACGAAAAATCTCTAACCGCAAAGACAATTAATAAATACTTTTGGATTTCTAACATAAAGATTTTTATTTTTTCTTTCGAAGATTTCATGTTTTCATCGGCAATTTATCCTTACTATTCATTCAATAAGAATTAATAAGAATTGGATCAAAGAAAAATAAAACAAAAAAAAAAAAAAAAAGAAATGATAAAAGGCTAATAATCACGATAGGAAAATAAAGGATTAATCATTTCTAAATTAATTGTTAATTGACATAAATATTACGTTTGTTACGTCATATTCGTTTATCAACTCGAAATAGTCACAATGGAAAACACGAATGGGGATCATCTCTAATTAATTCGTCTTGTTAATCGACGACTTCGTGGAAGAGGTTCGCCGCCATTTTGAAGATCACTTAAACTAAATCCTAAATTTCTATTCGGTCTTTTTCTAAATGATCAAAAAGAACGACAAACGATACGAGATAAACGTCGAAAAAACGACAAGGGAATGGAAACGAATTACTATACAACGTACGAATACGTTTAATAATACGACTTATATGGTTTCTTTTTCGCTGCGCCATGCTGACCAACGCAAAACGGATAATATGATTTCAATGAATAATCTCTCTCTCTCTCTCTCTCTCTCTCTTTCTCTCCCTCTCACGCGCTCTATCTCTTTCTCTCTGTCTCTTTCTCTCCGTATCAATAACAGTGCGCTTGAAAACATGAGGAATAATTAAAAGGAAAATTTTAAAAACAAACGTGTAAAACATGAAAAAATGAAAATAAAGGATTAATGTAAAAAAAAAAAAAAAAAAAGTTGTTTCGAACGTTTTGGAATTCTTAAAACGAGAAACGAAAAACTTAAAACTTGATTCCGAGTAGATTCGATCATCATTATACTATAAAAATGACACAACTTGTTACGTACTACTGAATAAGTATGATTACTGAAATAGATCGTTTCAATAAATGGGAAACACTTGAGGTTAGAAGAGTAATTCGAACGTCCTTCAAAAAATTTCAATGCAGTCTTGGCGCTCTGACGTCTTTGTGCAATCAAACATTGATTGTGTGGAAACTAATGGACAATGTTTCAAACATGACACATGACGAGACGATAATAGAAAATGAGAAAAGAGCCGCCCTTGACAGTGGACTGCCATCGTAGGTACTTTACGACGTATAATATGTGTGTACATGTATAATATCTCTCGTGTACGTGTATACGTGTATTCATACTTAATCGCAATAGTGTAAGTCGTGTGTAATATTTAAGATGTTAATATATTCGTAGGGCACTTTCAAAAAATCTAAAGATCGAAAAACGAACGAGAAGTTCATAATATAAAAATGTCGATTCGTTTATTTGTCGATTCATTTGTCAAGTTGTAATTAATTTATGCGTTGCATTGGATGAAACGAGCTCTCTCTATCTCTGTCTCTATCTTTATCTTCTAACGCAAATAAATAAATCTCAACCGACATTTTTTGCATATCAACTTTCTCGTTCGCTCTTGCCTTTAGAATCTGAAAGTGTTTCGCGAATATTTGAACACCCTATATATATATATAATATATGCATCTGCGCGCGCGAAGGTCCTTACGTCGATAAAAGACACTATAACATTATATATGTACATTAACATGCGTATAGAGCTATCCTCGGGGACAAGAGGAAAAAGAAAAATAAAATGAAACAAGTAAATAGAGTAAAACATGAAGATCCATCCGTTTCGAACAAGCGGGAACCATAACGTAAGTAATTTCAATAGAGAGTAGTCTTGAAAGAGATTTTTAGGCTATTCGGAGCATAAGATAATTCTCATGGTAAACGCTGGTGAACGAATGCAGGGTCTTTGGTTACGAGACGCATTGCGTCTCCTTAAGGTAATGGCACTACGACTTGCACATAAGTTACTGGGAAATAACCCGTACGACCGTTCAAGGTACCCTCGAACCAATTTTCGTCGATTTTCCTGGTCAGAGTGATCGTATCGTTCTCCTGGAAGCAAATATATGATACATTAGTTTTTTATCATTCAAAATGATTATAAGATATATTTATATATGTGTTAATAATGGCTACGGTTTCTCATCATAAGTCTTAACTTAGCAACATTTCAATTGAAGTGTTTTTACATTTTGTAGAAACGATAGACAAATTTTGAAAGGAATATACGTTATATTTACTTTGAAGCCGAGTTCTCCAGGATTTTCTGCTTCGAAATCGTACAAAGCTGTGCAACATGGTTGTCTTGTCATCGGAGTCCTGGCTGGCGATTTGCTTGGAGATGGTAAGGGAGAAGCTGTAAAATATTAGAATTATAATTATCTTACAATTATAATAAAAATACAACAGATGAAACAAGACATGAGGCTTGCTGCAATAGCTTAAATTAAAACACTACGTATTTAAACATCTGCTCGATTATTCGAATCTTATCTTCAACAAAATGATATATGTAATGCAAAATTAAATGTAATATTTGACGCTTAAATTAAACAGCTGCTGCTCACTAAAATCTAAATAAAATTACAATGTTACAATTACAGCGAATCACATTAATATTTGAATATATAGATAACATATATCTGAATAAATTAATAAATTAATAAACATCGTGTATTATTAAAAAATAAAGTAAATAATAACACGATCGTGATATTCAAATTTTATCGTGAATCACTTCTAATTACGCTAATTACCAATATTTTTGTATAAAATATATAAGATAGCACACATAAAAAGAAAGTACGATCAAAGCATGCGAATAGATGATCGTTTTAAATAGCTAAATTAGAATACATCAATAATATACAAAAGGCAAAACAGTAATTACTTTCTTGCCCTGTTTGCGGTGCACGAAAAGCGATAGAATCGAAATTGAATAATTAATTGATCGATCGAATCCTACGGTAGGAAAAACCAACCCCATGCAAAATTTACCATTGGCAGATTGTGGCGGGTTTCCGGCTGGAAATAGCTCGAGCTGCGAGCGCTTCCCCTCCACATGAATTGGAGACCCGGCTCGACTTGCCCCTACATCGTGTCAGAAGGACAGACATTCAAGTATACGAAAGTATACACACACAACAATCGAGTAACGTGTATGAAAGTGTTAGAGATGAACTTAATAAAACAATTCGTAAATCAATATGTACACAATTCACAAGTGTACATACAATTGTTTTTAAAATTATTGAAAATACAAAAAAGTTATTCGTTGTAATTAGTTATTTAATTTGAAAAAGAAATAAAATAAAATATATTTGAAGAGTTAAGTAAATAATACGTATAGAGATTTTATTTTAAATTGAATAACTTTTTTACATTTCAAACAAAAAAAAAATAAAAACAAAGATTAAAACTATTATTAAACATCAAACTTAATATGAGATTAGAGACATTGTTATTATATATAAGATTACTAACATGTGTAATTAGTTTGGTCTACTTAATTTTATGTTGATCAACTTTCATAATAAAGTCAAAATATGATTTTATCAACTTTTATACTTTACTGTCATCTTCATTATATGAAACATTGTTCCTAATTACATTAATGTATGTGTATATATCTTTTTAAGTGCACAAGATTAAATAAAGTTAATGTCCATCTGACAACTAGAAAAATGGCAGGGGAAATTCAATCAGGAAAGAGTAACGACAACGTATACGGCAATAGTGTATAGTTGCAGAACATGTAGAGAGATGTTGCATGACAGAGGGAACAAGAAACAGACAGCCAATCCACCCGCAAGTATCATTATTTTGTATATGTATGTGTGAAATGTGTTTTACCATGGAGGGAGAAGTTCCCACCGTTCATAGCATCCGATGTAGGTAATCCATCGACGTGCAAATCGGCCAATGTTTTCGGTACGAATTCCAGTTTTGGTTTATTCGCCGCTTCGTCTTTTCTATAATTAAAAATAAAGTAATTATTGTTACTTTATAGAATTATTATGAATAATAAATGAAAGATAATTTCATAGTAATTTCTTAATCTAAAAATTGAAAAAAAAAGAATTCATATAACATCATAGTTAATTTAGATTACATAAATTTAACAATTCATTAGTTAATTGACACATACTTCTCTAAAAGTGTCTCTGTTAATGTTCTCAGAATTTCAGTACATTGTTGATGATACTCCAGAAGAGCTTCACTGAATGTTGCCAACTGTGCCACTTGTTCTACCTAAAAATAAAATAATTCAAGTTTACATTCATTTCGTTTCAATGAAAAATAATATTGTTGTCAATTTATTTTTCACTTACGTCATTTTCCAAAAGATTGAACATGCCCAATTGTGCTAGGTGGAGACTCTCAGCGAATTTTTCCTCAGCTTGACGAATCTCGTCGTCTGAAACGTGAGAACCTGCTCGCAAAATTTGCGCCGGTGAAAATATTAAAAATTGCACTACTGGGTTGCTTCAATGCCTAAATTCGATATATAATAAAATAGCACAAACAAAAAAGAATAAATACTAGCAAAATTAAACCGTGTGAATCTAAATTTCAATTGTACAAGTTCCTTCCTTCTCTAAACGCAAGCATGTACAAATATTAAATTTTCATATAAATTATATTGAATACAATGCATTCAACATTCGCAATACCTTTGATGCACTTATGAACATAATTATACTTCTTACAAACTACATTTAATATATTTATTATTAGTATTTTCATGATATGATCTGAATTATTTAATCTAATTATGTATTACTACAATACTAAAATTATATGTATCTATTTAAAAAGAAATATATAAACATCAAAATCTAAAAAAAAAGAAATTATTCTAAGAGAAGAATTTATTCTAAAAAAATCATAATTACATTTTTACTATTATTTACTATTATACTGCATTTACTATTAATGAGAATTTAAAATATGTATTTTTTAAAAATTTAAAAGGAAATTGAAATGTTGATAAATTTAATTATGACTATTGCTATAAAGCAACTAACGGAAAGTTTATTAATTATTGTACGTGAAAAAATCACGCACCAGTGTACGGTGATGAACTTTTCGCTGGACTTCCAAAATGAGGACTGCTAGATCTTTTTCCGGCTAATGATTAATAAGAATATGCAAATAAATGAATGAAAAACGAAATGTTTTTCTTTGCTTTTTATACAAAACAAAAAATGAAAATCCTAATAATCAATATTTTACATTCAAAATCATATTTTACATCAAAATCTATAATGAATAAAATTATAATCTGAGTGTAATATCAAGAATATTTTATCTCTTCTGTAAGAATTTATACGTAACAAAAACATTGTTCAATATCTAATTACTTAATTTAAAAAAAAACTGAAAAGATTAAGTTTAATATTCTTCAAATTGTATCCAATATGATAAAAATTCTAACCTATAATCTAACGAAATATCTCGCCTGATAAAATAAAAAATTATCATTACGATGATATCCATCAACTATATATAATCAATAATATAATTAATCTATGACAACGTGCACATGCAGCAGAACATGCGAATGGAATGCCTGTAAAATAAAAGAGACCCGTAAATATTAAGAATTACAAACAAAGGAAGAACGCGTGTAATATCATTGGATGGAACAACAATTTCTTTCTTTTTACGCGATACCTTTCTCTAATTTGACGATTTATCTTCAATACGGAAAGACACGAATATATATATATACGTATATGTGTATAATTGCAAACGGGCACGCGTCGAGTTTTCGTGTTCGTTGCAAGGACGCAACGTATACGGCCCCAACGTGTTGTGCTTAAATAAATCAATAAACGTCGCGGAGAGATAAAGTCAACTCGCGGCCAAGTATACCTTTCGCTTGACGTCTTCTCTTGCAATCGAAGTCCAGCCTTCGTCCCTGAAGTTTTTTCCGGTGATGCTGAAAACAAAAGGTTATATATCAGTCCCATTCACGAATATTCTCTCCCTTTCCTTCCTTCTGATCTCGTCGTATTCTTGTCGCGTTAAACTGGGACAGCGCTACTCGACGGGGCAGAAGAAAGGGAACTTTTTTTTTAATAAACCACCACCAGCCTACCATCACTTCTTTCAGATCTTTAGTCTGCAAATGGTGCAGAGGCTCAAGGAAGTTTTGTTTAATGTTGTCGTCCAACGAATATTTCACGTCTGCCATCTGCTTCATCGCCTCGCCCATTTCAATCAGAGCCTGAGCTGTAAACAGGAATTAGAAAAGATAAATGAGCCGAATCTTTGTCAGCGTTCAGATACATACTTATGCGTCTACTTTGCCGGTTGCTTTGCAAGAAGTTGCAACTTGTACGGTCAACGTAAATCTTCTAAAGTTAGAGCAAAGGTAAAGAGGTATTATTGATAACGAAAAATCTTCAAATTATTTATATCGAATAGATTAAACTGTTTGTATCTTCGAACTAGAAGATAGGATATTTTTTTTTTATATACCTGAGAATCAAAATTCAAAATAATTTGACGTTGCTTTTTATTTTTCAAAAAAACCGTGGTTCAGAAGCATCTGAATGTAAAAGTCAGATGAATTTTAAACGAACGTACCGAAAATACTATCCTCCCCTAATTTCTTTCCATAAGTAAGCATACAATCGCCGAGAACACCTTCTGGCTGGGGATAAGTCGAGGCCTTCGCTTGACCGCTGAGCTTGCTGATGCCCTTGACCGCGGCCATCTTCGCTCTTGCTGTGGGATTTGGCTGAAGGAACTCTTTCGTTTTCATTTGTAACTCCTCCACCAGCTCGTACGTGACGTCCGTTTTCTACGATTAAAGTTTTATCACCCTGTACATTAGCTAGTTCCATCCAGATAATACAATATTTATTTTTATTTCTTCAGCCTCCTCATTCGTAAGTTTCGAGTAATAAGGGATTCAAGCAAGAAACGAAATTTCATGAAACGATCGGAAAATCGATTCAAGGTTAAATGAATGAAACAGGAACACTTCGTGGAAACCTTAAAAGTGTAGAAACACATACTCACCCTCTCCATATCCATAAAATCGACGTCGAGCTTGGTTCCTTCCGCTCCGCCCATCTTCTCAGTCATATACTGAAAAAAAATAAAAATTGTTAAAATGATAAAAATCCACTGATGATAGCAAAATTTTAGAAAAAGTACTTTCTGCTCCTCGATTTTTTTTTTTTTTTCTTTTTTTGTATCATTCTTTGTTTAAATTAAATTCCATATATTTTCGCTGTCTTTAATCAAAGTCGTTTCGAGAGATTAAAAATTAAATGTACTCTATAATGATAAATTGATACACAAGAGTGTTTCCATTTTGAAACTTTCAACGTATAATTATCTTCTAAACTACTCGTTACTACTTCGAAAGATGAAATAAGTAGAATTTATTTTGCATAAATTGCATAAATTGAAAGTTGTGAGTTATTATATGGAACACGATTTCCTGAATAACAAATTCTTGAAATTATAATAACGATATCTTAAATCCGTTCAATTCGATCAATCGTTTTCCACAATTATAATATAATTTTCGTTTCAATTTTCTCCTTCGATATTCATTCATAAGAATGAACAATCTCTTTTTTTTATAGGATTCAATTTGTGAAACCACTCTTCTTTGTGTGAATTTTATCCAATTTAAAAAAAAAAAAAAAATGATAAATCCCATTTATCGAGCCCATTTTAAGAAAAATATCTCACTCTATAGTTAGGTATCATCGATAAACCGGAAATTGTCCCGTTGCATCTCTATAAAGAGAGGAGATATCATAAAAATCTCAAAGGTACGTGTATATATATATATATATTTATGGGTGGTAGTCGATTGGTCGATGTCAGTTAATTGCTCGTAAAGCGAGATCATCTTGAAAGACGAAACGAGATTTCCTACGGTCGAGAAATATCCGTGAGGGTCAGAGTTGAGGGCAAAGGATACGGCCGGCGAGATGTTTGAAAAGGGGAGAAAATGCCAGTGGCAGAAAGGATACCCTTTCCCCTCCCCCCCTCTCCTCCGGATCAATAATATTCCCAGTGAATTTCGATGTAAAGTAACGCGCCTCTGAAATTTTGCCAATAAATGTGAAAAGAAACTGTGCAATTGTATATTCAATGATCGCTTGACGACTTTTATGATCGCGATCACGATTGTTACAATACACAAGAATTTTAAGAATATACGATAGATAGATAAAAAAAAAAAAGAAAAATCGTATAAAAAATTAAATACGTTGTATATAAGAGAATAGAATAGAAGATTAGAGAAGTAGCGTGATGGAGATACGATAAATTGATAAATTTAATTTTGCAAATCCAATGAAAATAAAATCGTGTCAAATCGTCAAAGAGCGGGGAGTACGATGGAAAATGCGAGAATTCTTTCTAGATATGCTTTATATTACGTAACTTGAAATAAAGAATTGTAAAAAAAAAAAATCCAATTAAACATAATTTCATTCTTTTAATTGAATTAAAATAAATGAATTAAAATAAATAAGAATAAAACGTAAAGTAATGGATATTTTTCTTATTCCCAATATTATGAATTTTATATTGTATTATTCGTTTATTTTTATTTATTCTTTCTTGCGACATCTATATGTAACTGGAGTATATAAATTTCACAATGTAGTAACGGCAGTTAAAAAAAAAAAAAAAGAAAAAAGAAAACGTATCGAATCTCATTTCTTCTTCTGCGTTTAAAAGAGCAAAAAAAGCGTTAAAATTTTGATTCTCTTAATAAAAATCGTTTTGTCACGTTTTTGTCACTGTTCATCGTTTACACGAAACTTGCACGAATAAGAAATACGACGAATCTCAATTCTTTTCATTGGAAGAAACACGCGAACAATTTCAATGAAAACGTTATCCAAGTATGAATGAGAATTGCAAGCATTACACCACGCACCTTTTCGCAATTATTACGAGCGCAATATCGTAGACATCTCCTCCCATAGAGGATGAATCATCCACACTAACAATATAACGCGAAACGAAAAGCAATTCATTTACATAATAATAACAAATTCCCTATCGTGAATCATCTACGATCCTTCTCTCTTTTCATATCTGTTTATATCTGCTGCGAATCAATTATCGTTATTTTCATTTACTTCTATAGACAATGGATTGGTATTAGGATTTTTTAAATAATTGCGTATATGTATTTTCGTTCTTTGTCGCGTATCCTTAGAAAGATCCTAAGAAAGATCTCTTCATAAAAATATATGCAGAAATGGGATCATCAGAGGTTAAGATTCTCGATGTATTTCTCTTTAAGAAAACTTTTTTAACATTCCAGATATACGTTCAATTTCATCGAACACGTTCCAAAATTAAAGGATAAAATTTAAAACTTGGTATTTGGTTATCAATTTAAAAAGAAAAAAAAAAAATTGTCATCCTCGAAAGAATCCACGTAACGCACCATCTCTTCCCTTCCTATCGTATCGTGGAGAGACAATGTTTTTAACACGACTTTGTAAAAAGATTCGTTTAGAAAAAGAAAGGAAAAAAAGAAAGAGAAAAAAAAAATTCATATTCAATTGCGATATTATTCCGTAATAATCGCATCATCGATATCGAAGCAACAATATACCGTGATCCTTGAAAACTGCAAAAGCCAAGCAACACGATTATTTGATAAAGTTCCTGTTCGACCGTGACCTATATTTAACATTGACCCACTTGTAGAGCCAGTACCGCACGCAGGAACATAGGTAGCGTTGCCGATTACACGTCGTCCTAGAGTAAATCTGACCCACATCCGGTACTTGCAACGTCACGTGCCGTTTCATTCGAATTTATGCACCGATTGTAGGTAACGTTACGATGGCCAAAGCGCGGATGAAATGGCTCGTCAAACCCATTGTGCCATTCCCGATAACCAATTATTATTGCGAAACGGAGAGTGAGATCGAATAATCGAATAATTTTTTTTCATATGTGGATAGATCGAAAATTATTGATCATGATTAAAAAAGTAGTTAGAATTTAGAAATCAAGTAGGAATTAAATAGTAATTTAGATAGATATTTTATTAAACAACTGGTTAGGTTAGGTTAGGTTAGGTTAGGATAATATCTAATTTGATCAAAATTTGTTTTCTAATTTGTTATATAAATAAATTTATATAACAATGATACTAGATAATACAGTTGATATTGCAGTATTGCATCTCAAAAACTCAAAATAATTTCTGTGATACATCAAACATATATAATGGAGAATGATTCGTAGATTTTGAAAATTGCGACAAGAAATCTTATACAGCGAAATTCAAAATGATTAATTCGGGATGATAAATAGATATAAAATTATCTAAAATTATGTAAGTCTAACGTTATCCTGTAACTACGTATATAAGAGTAGAAATAATAGTATGATTTCCTAGTTTGATATTTTTGATAAGATAAAATTATATTTACATTAGATTTTTGCTCTGTGTAATTTGAAAACAAGTTGAAATAACTCTGCTTCAATCATTAATCATTTCTTTTACAATTCAAATGACAGATTGATATTATTTGACTTTAAATTTTCCCATATAAATCAATCAAAAGTAAAATGATAAATAATAAAATAGTAATAGGATAAAAATATTCAAAGTTATTAATAATAACTGAAAATTGAAGTCACAAATAAATAATTTGTAAAATTATATAATATATATACTGTCCCCAAATTTCTTATGAGATATCTTAGAAGAAACTTACGGATAAGATGTTATTTTAAGTCAATGGGTAAATCAAATATACATTGATTTTAGTATCGAGCCTTTGACTTAAAATAACATCTGCCAGAGAAGGGGAGGAGGGGTGGGGATTAACACTAAAATCGTGTATATTTTAACAATTCTTCTATCTATTTTAACTTTTCAGAAACTATTTTAAGAATTCATCTCGGATTGGAACAAGTGTCAGCCAAAATAGGAATTAATTGTTCCACTCAAGGCACATTGAGGCAAACGAGACTTCTGTTCTCGGGTCAGAACACTGTAGTAATGGTTGGAACGTCAATCGATACGTAATCGGGAATTGTTTCTAATTAAATGTGGTAGAGGAAGTTTTGGTAATAATTATACTGGATGGACAGAGAAATCGATAAGCAAGTATGATTATTTTTGAAATTGCTTTCAAATTATTTTCACAATTGATAAAATTAATCATATACTGTGATACAGATATTGTTTGCTATTCCATTTAAAAATTGTATCGAGTCAAAGCTACAATGTAAGATGAATAATAATTATTTGACATAAAAAATATTCTGCTGAAAATAATATTGAATTTTTCATTTGAATATGAAATGACATTCATTTTGTATGAATAACTAGATATATGTATAAACGAAATATTTAACGAATTAAATTAATGATGTACACTTATGTAAAAAAAAAAAAAAATTAGTATAATAAATCTGGAATTATATTCGAGTGCAATATTCGAATGGAATAACAAAGAAATCGATATTCAAGATTAAATTAACTCAAATATATATATATATATATATATTAATTTTAATCCTCGATGAATATAAAATCAGCATAAGTAAAGAAACATTATAATTGCTTGAGAAAACTGAGAGAGAGAGAGAGAAAGAAGAACTTTATCGAGAGAAGGACGAACATAACTCGTTATCGATAATAATAAACCTGACAAATTAAGCTTTATCGAGAAAAGCAAATATTTCATTTCAGATCAATCTATTGGCTTTCAATCAGGAAAAATGTTTGTACTTTTGGAATAAGATTAGTTACTAATTTTTAGTTTAATAATAATAATATGTGAAAATAACAAGCAATATTGATACATCTAAAATATACAACCTTATCATTAGTTCTTTTTCATATTTTAAATATTTTTTAATCATCTCATTATGATAAAAGTTTATATAATTTGCATAATAATTATGCATATATACATATATGTCTTTTAAAAATTCATTTTAATTTTGAATATATAACGTTATATAAAATAATATAAAAAAAAATAGATTTTTGTCCAAGATTACTTTCTAATTTAAAATTTTATTAACGTATATATGTATATATATATATATATATATATATAAAATACGTTAATATAAAATGAAAGAAAAAAAACTTTTTTTTTTGTTTTAATTAAAATACTTTCGTAAAATGTTTTATCAAATGTTTCAACGTGAACATAATATGAAAGCACAGCATTGTTTCGCGATAAAACTCCGTGTAACAGTATCTAAAACTAATTATCGACAAGAACGGGTAAACAGTTTAGGATACTGGTAAATTGATCATTAGAGGTACGATATGGATTGTTCTATAATGCTCGTTCATTGTGCTATTTATCATTCTATATTTGCGCCATTCTCAGTCTATGTATATTCGAATTCAAATTTTTTCTTTTTTTTATCAAAAAAAAGATTGAAAAATGAATTTGATTTGCAGATTGATGTAAGTGTGGTGAATTTATTAAATCGTAGAAATAAATTAAATACGTGTATTTAAAGTTGAAAAGAAAAATACCACTCGAACCTACATTTGAAACCTCAATAGTGCATTTTAAAAATCTATCTCTGCACGTTGGTTACCGCATTACGATCAATTCGCACTTCGTTCAATAATTACATAAGATGAAAGTTTGTTGCATTGTATAATCCTTATCACTCACGAGCCATGCGGATATCTTTACTAAAATCATCAATCTATTACATCGTTCGATACTAAAATTCGCGTTATTCGTAATTATAAAATATAAATTATATAATTTCGTCAAATATTAAATTCAAATAATTAGAAAGTCAATAGAAAGTTAAGTAAAAAATTTTAAATCATTTTTAATTGAAAAATTTCTCCAATATTGTTATATCACATTTTCTTCGATACGTACAGCACGAGTTAAATCATTTCTAATCATTATCAATTTCTTTCATCAATTCAACAAATTTTCAGAATTAAAATCGTACCATTTCCATCGAATTATTTAAATAATAAAATTTTACGCGATCATCGCGTCGACCGATTAAAATTAATCATCGACAAAACTCGATAATTTTGCAAAAAAAAAAAGAGAAAGTATTTCTTCACAAATCTCTTCAAACGGTGCGCAAGATTCCTCGATTTATCAAATTACGAAACACAATCAAAATTTCGTCATAGAAGAATATTCCTTGCACAAGTATTTCCCTTTAATAATATAATCTTAACGATATTAATATAATCGAAATTTCGCGATAAGAAACGAAAAGTATTCGATGCACGGATGCAAGTATTCATCAATGATTTATCAAACGGTGGAATAACAGTTGAAATCAGTGGCATGACCCAGTAAAAGTCGGCAAAATATCCGCGATTATTACAAAGAGAAGAATCGTGATTCTCCCTGTGGCGAGGTAAGCTTAAAAATCTGGCCTCGAAAAACTTGGCGAATCTCGGTCAGTTAACCGTGCGTGGGTGTAACACGATTCTGCAGCCTGTAGCATATCGTAATTACATTATGAAAAAGAAACGTTGAATATCGGCCGAGTTTCGAGGATCTATCGACAATCGCCGGTAGCGAATTACAACGCGATTCCTGATGATGATGGTGATGGTGGTGGTGGTGGTGGAAGTAGGAGATTTCCGCCAGAGGGTAGCTTTAAAACCGGGTCAAAAAGTTGGATCGCGATATTCAATCGTGGAGAAGGCAACGTGGATCGTGCCACATTCCTGACAGTTTCATCTTTTTCCACCACCACCCCCTTCCCTCCCTCCCCACGCCTCCTCTCCACCCTGCTTTTGCCCGAATAAACCGAGTCGACCGATACGAATCGTTTTCCTCGAAATACGAAATACTCCATTGTGTCCTGAATGGAACACCAATGGTGAACCAAAGAAACGAAAATTGCTAATTATACTAATATAACGTTACGATTGGCTCGACTCATTTTCATAACGTGTACGCGAGGAATTGCGAATAACTTGAAATAGAATCGTAGAAGTAAAGTTTTGTGATCGTTCTGTCGTGAAAAAAAAAAAAAATTGCGCTTACATGACATATTGATAAACGAGCATCGATAAGAGAAGGCCGATTACGAACGTACGATAATCTTATGATAAAATTGTAATGTATATATACAGTGATAATGTATATATAAGTGATATTCGTTTATACATAAATAAAACAATCTTATAAATATAAGATAAAAACAAATAAACTCACCTGATTGGCTTTGTTAATCTGTTTCTTCAAACCCGCGAACGCCATGGTGTTGGTGGTGGTGATGACACTTCTGGCTTGCCTCTGGACACGAAACACGAAGAAGAGAGAATCTGGAAACAAGAGAAAAGGAGAAAAAAAAAAAACTATAATCGATGCGTGTAGTGAAACGATCGGGGCAAATTTTTGAAAAACAAAGAAAGAGTTTGAATTTATGACTGGCCGGTTGGCTGCTCGCCAGATCCGGCCATCCACGGACGGATGATTTTCAATGTTATCGATCGACCACGTTTTCCAGCATCATGACTTACTTCTGATGTAATAATCGCCGACTCACGTACACACACACGGTCAACGTTTAATCCTTTTCAATATTTCAGTATCTACGCATGTATGTGATACGTATGCACATATATATATATATATATATATATGACGGATAGAAACCCACTTGCGATAATTTCGCCAATTTCACTGATGAAAACGTTTGTATATACTGACGTACCGACAAGAGTCCGGCTTACTCATAGAAAATTACATCTTTTCCTTTCTCGACCGACTACGCTCCCTTCTTATACGTACGTTATATTCTTATGTATATTCATTCCATCGCGGAACAAAGACGACTCGGTTCCAAAAATAGAGTGTCACGCTCATAAAGAGAAATTAACGAATGCCGTCCCTCTTAATAAGCCGCGCGGCTCCTTCGAGAAGAGAAGAGAACAAGTGTCGTACGAATAAGGGCAAAGGTTGCGCGGAGGGAAAGATGGTTTCATCTATGTACTTTATAACAAGCTAATAAAGACTGGTAATGGTGTAACGTCGATAAACAAAGAACGATACAACTGCTGTACACAATAATATCGAAATTCTGTTCCAATTGACCTGGTGATACCAGCGCCGTTCCTATTCTCTCCTTTTCTTTGTGACAATGTTAGAAACGTTAAAAAAAAAAAAGAATATATACTTGTATTTATCAAGCACAATATTCGTTCCCATCTTTTAGTTTGGAAAGTAGAAAAAGAAAATTTTGACGATCCGGTATCGGGTAAGATTCCCTCATTTTTTACGAATATCGCAACATTAAAAAAAGTATGTATAAGCATATATCGAGTGGATGTATGCACATAGTTTCGGAAGGAGAGGAATCGTTAATAGATACAGATGCAACGATAGAGCAAATCTCTCACCTCTAGAGTTAGTGATCGAAACGGCACGTCCTTATAGCACCCTCGTTAAAATCGTGGAAATCGGTTACCTCGTAGCGCACCGGTAATCCCACCGAATTGTGGGAATACCGAACGACAATCGCGGTCGTACGAGGCACACGCAAGTGGGAAAAAGTCTAAGAGTTAGAAAGAGCGTAGAGATCCGCGTGGACCGCGAGCACCACGAGCACCACCGACTCGTACGTGGTCGGTTTTGCACACTGCGCCTCTTCCTCGAAGGGTAGTTTTCAGCCCGACCGATCGATACCCGGCATCCACTCCATCCTTATCCTCCCACTGTGCTCCCTTTCGCTCGCTCCGAACCAACATAGTAGAATATAGTATAATCTTCCTCTCTCTCCATTTGCCTTTCTCCCTCTCGCTTCCTCGCCAACTTCCCCTACCTTCGTCGCGTCGCTCTCTCTCTCTCCTTTTCCTTCGATCATCTTTCTCTTTCGCGCTCCCATCCTTCCCTTCCCGAGTCTCTGTTCAACTTTTTGCTACTGAACGCTTCTATCGTTCATATCCCCTCCTTCCTCTGCTGCACTCTTTTCTCCTTCGCGATCTCTACCTCCACTTTGCCCAAGCTAAATGTCCCAAGCTCTCTTGTATTCACACTACACTTTCCCTTATTCCCTTTTCATTCCTTTCTTCACTCTGTTTTCTCTCATTCTGAATTTTCCTGGATTCCCGGTCGGATTTCAAGTGTGTGCCGCGCACTTTCTATTCCCCACTTCCACTCCCTCTTTCCCTTGTTTCTTTCGTTTTTTTCCTTTCTTTTTCTGCCGCTACTGGATTTCCCTCGCCCACGCACCGGCTAATCTCAACCCTCTCGCGAACTTGTCCACACGCGTTTTTGTACGTTCGGGGGACAGAGTCAAGTAGCGGAAAGTATCGCCGAGAAGAAAGAGACGATATTTCTATGGAGTTGGACGCTTGGAATAATAAAGGAAGGGTTTGGATTAAATTACGTTATATTTAATGATGTTGAAACTTCGACTATAGCGATGAAACAAATGATAACACGTTAACGTGTTAATTATATTATCATAGTATTGGATATTAGAGAAATAAAAAAATTAAAAAAATAAAAATTATTACTATGATCGTAAAATAAACCTTCGAATATTATTCCATTTTAACAAAACTATTTCAATAATTATTTTCCCTACTCTTTGCTTAAAGATATATAGATATCCACTACTAACACGCGAAGTATGATTATTATATTAGATCTTGGAAAATATTGATTTAAATAACATAAATGAATATTTGTTTTTTTTTTTCTGAAATTGATAGTATCAGGTTTTAGAAAAAAATAAGACAAAAAAAAAGAAACATTTAGAATATACAAATAGATTATAATTTTTATTTGAGAAATTTTCATTTATATTTTAATATATGGTAATTGCATTTGATATTATTATGATAATTTCTAGCAAATTATTTTTTTCATGAACGACATTAGTTCTGTTACATTAGTTCTGTTAAATATATATATTTGATCGTTATAAAAATTATTATAATCACATTTCAAATTTATTTCAAGAATTGAGAACATCAATATTAAATTATAACAGTTACATTGTATGGTAAATGTATTATTATATTTTATTGTTAAATGATAAAAACTAGTAATAAAAAGAACACTGATATTTAAAATATATTAAATAATTATTAAATCTCGAAGAACTCGATCAATAACAAGGAAGAAATAGCGAAACTTGGCAAAAAGTTGCGCACTATGCAGTTTCCACTCGATAAAATTCTTCTAATTGTAAAGAAATGGTAATTTTTTCACTGAATATTTTTAAAATTGATTATTTACTGAATTTACTATAACTAACATCAATGCGAAAAAGTATAAAAATATCATTAAGTTTTTCAATTGTGAATAAAATTAAATAAGAAGTTTGCAAGGACAAAAGAGTTGATCTTCATTTTTTTGGACTCTTGCCATTCTCTTCTAATTCTATTTTTAACTTTAATTAATTTATTAATTAGTTATCAGAATATATCTAATAATAATTATATAAATAAATCATTTGTTAAAATTAATCATTTTTTCTTTGTAAAATTATATTATTATAAAATTTACAAAATTCAAAATATTATAAGTATATAAATGATTTCTTAAAATAAAAAATTTTTTTTTAAATTCCACTACATTTATATCTCATAGTATATATATTTTATTAATTTTTTTTAATTTTTTTATATTATAATAATATAATATAATAATATAATAATATATATCGTTGTTTCTTAACTAGAATCGACCTGAAAGAACAAAGATTCAAAGGATTTTGCATGAAAAAGCCACGGTATTAAATGTAACGAAAGGGGCATAAAAAAACGTATTTATTTGAAAACTTATTATCTCCAATAGCAAAGAAAGAGCATGATACTGTATATAAATATTTTTATAACAATTATATGTGAACATTTATAAATGAATTAATTTTCTGATTGATTAAGTATAATAATTTTATTTTAAGATTCAAATTTTGATAGAATGAACACATTATGTTTTTTCTTATTTTTCATTTATGAATAATAATTAAAATTTAAAACATTTTAAAACGTTTGAAAGTTTTTTCATATAAATATTATTTCTAATATTATTTATAAAAATTATTATCCCTTTAACTCTTTATAAATTTCTAATTCTAATTTTATTATCTTCACTATTGTTAAATTTTAATATTTTTGCAATTAAAATTTTCCAACAAATAATTATCCAAATCAATAATTATAAAAATCCAAAAAATTCATAATAATTTTTAATAAATTTTTATTCAAAAATAAAGTTATCATATTAAAAAAATATTTGGAAACAAATTAAATGCATATATATCAAAGTGATGAAGAAATCAATCATCATCAAAATGATATTACTGCAAAAAAATCTATAAAAAATAGAGAAATTCTAAAATTCTGTGAATTTTGTACATTTGTCAGTGAATAATTATCAGAGAATTATGATTAGGTCATAGTACTGCTATCATTCGATAACATTCTGTCGCTTTGTACGCCCCCCATAAGCTGAGTGTACATCCGCTATATAAACCACCCCCACACAGACTTCGTGAAAATACTTCTAAAAATATATAATAGTCCAGCAGGAGACGATATTAATCTATCAAGTTAAGCCAACTTTTACTTTCATTTTTCTTATGCAATTTTTTGTTATGAACTCTTTCATTGTCAATTATAAAATAAATTGTAAAATAATTGCGAAGCAAAGAAAGAAATAATGATAATGCAATAAAGTATAAAAAATTTTTAAAAACATTAATTCTCATTCTATATTTTATCAACATTTTTATTATTAAATATATTAAATTGTTTAAGAGAAAATTTAATTCATTTCTATCGCAAATAAATAAATAAATACTGAGTTTTATTATAACTATTAATTTAGTTTAATATGAAAATAATTAACAAATAAATAGTCGAAACAATCAATAATTGATATTTTTTAAAATATAAATTTTAAAACGAGGAAATTATATAAATTAATTAATAATAAGTCATATAAATCAATTAAATTATTTTATTAAAAATTTATCTTACTTAATTAGAGTAAAAATTGATTGTCAGTAATAGTAGCTTTACGCACATGAAAAACTAACCTATCTATTATGACTTATGCTATAATATTGTTTCATTTTTTATATTGCAATCTCATTATTATTCATTTACATAAACAACATATTATAATAAATATACATACAAATTAAAAATAAATATCACGTTTTTATTAAATCATTTATAAATACCATTTAATCACTTATTAGAAATCTATGCAAAAAAAAGTTAAATCTATAGATAACTTCATAAGAAACTATATCTATTTATAATTTTATAAAAAAATATAATATATAGATAATATAAACATATCAATCATTTGCTATTTATTTCAATTGTATTTTTTTTTCGATATAATAATTTAACATAAAATATATCACATTATTAATTACATTATTGCATTATTACATTAATCTTTTTGCATTATATGTCTTTTATGCAATATATATATATATAGATACAGATATATTAATGCATAAAATAGATAAATTATAATATTATGCATAATAATATAATATTATGCATAAAAATAGATAAATTATATACATAGAATTCATGAAAAAAAAATAAAATTAAGTGTCTCAATTAAAAAAAAACACTTTTAATGTATATTAATATGTCTAAGTGTTCGTGTTAATGCATTGTTATTGACAAATTATAATTAAATATTATTAACAAATATATATATATATATATATATATATATATATGTGTGAATTATTATTAATAAATGTTTCAAACAAATAGTAATTTCAAATCAAATTTTACATATTTGATAAAAATAAAGACTTTATTAATATATAATTTTAAAAAAACACTAATTTCTATTACAAACTTTTTTAATATTAAACATTTTAAATGTGAATATTATTATATTTCACTGAAATTTAAAAATAACAATAATGATATCGCGCCACCAATCACAAAATGTTGCTGTTAGTAACCAGAAATGAATATGGCGTCAACTTAACGTTTGTTTTTACTTTATATTCATTTTGTAATTTGTAAGTACGTAATATATAATACCACACTTTAATTAGATATGCCTTTGTTTATTAAATGCACAAAAACAAATAAACTTAACAAATATGTCAAACAAGAATACTGAACCTATCGAATGTATATACAGTATATCCGTGTATTGAATAAACGAATCTATTCAAACGTTTCTTTGTAAAAAGTACAAAAATTAATAATTCTAAGAAAAATAATAAGTATTATTTGTTTAAGAATACTCACCGTATATTAATTTAATGAGAACAGGAAATTGTTTAAAACTGCAAATGGACAAACCCCCTGCTATGATTTGACACAGACGACAGCTGTTTGAAGTTTCCAGGAGTAACGCTAGATTGCTCTTCTAACAGTATATAAATCATAACCATCGGAAAGCGGGAAAAATTATTGTATATTTATTTTAACATGCAATATAAAATTTAATGATTTTTTTTAAATTTTTTTAAAATTGTTTAAATTGTAAATTTCAAATTTTTAGATTTTTATATTGAACATGAACATTTTAATAATAAATATAATAAAATATAGATAATACATTATATACTTTATAAATAAATAAATAGCGAATAATTTTGAAATGACAGGTCTTTTATTATCAACATTATTAGTACAGTGAAACAGCTAATATAATACAATAAAATAGTGCCGTTTTACAATAGAGCGCCATAAAGCTTTTTTTACACGTAGTA